CCTACTTTCCCCCCGGCCCCATGTGCCGCCGAGGGGGGGAGAAGGGACAGAACAAAGCCTTTGGGATGAAGGGAGGGGTGAGGGAGAAGTGCCTTTTTGTAAGACGTGGTTTCTCTCTTTCAATATCCTGCTTCTCGTTGTAAATAGTTAATAAATTCACTTGTTTTTCTTGTCCTTCCCAAGTCGTGTGGGTTTCTTGCCCGTGACCCTAAGTGGTGAGTGAAACCCTCCCTGTTCCCTGCCTCAGCCCACCAGGTGTTTAGAAAAAAAAAAACTGTCCCCAAAACCGCGACGGTTTACTTGCCGTTGATGAGCTCCAGCGCCTCATCTTTGCTCCGTGTGATCTTCTCCTGCCGCCACGAGGAGGGTCGCCGGGACTGGTTGTGTTTCACCAGGAGGTGGGAACACCGCACCTTGCTGGGCTCCCCGTGGTGCCCGTTCTTCCCGCTGCCGCTGGGTCGCTCCCACTGGCTGGCGTTCGTCAGGTGGTTGAAGTAATACACGCGCCCTGCGGACATGCAAAGGGGCTGGCGTCAAAAAAAAGCTCCTGGGAGAGCCCCACAATCTGTTTCCGAGCCCAAAAAGCAGCTTATTGACTCCCAGAATCAGTTTCTGACCCCAAGCATCAGCTTCTTGACCCCCAGAATTGTTTTCTGATCCCAAGAAGCAGCTTCTTGACCCCCAGAATCAGTTTCTGATCCCGAGAAGCAGCTTCTGGTCCCAAAAATCAGCTTCTTGACCCCCAGAATCAGTTTCTAGTCCCAGGAATCAGCTTCTTGACCCCAGGAATCAGCTTCTGAACACGAGAATCAGCTTCTTGACCCCCAAAATAAATTTCTGACTGCAAAAATCACCTTCTTGACCCCGAGAATCAGTTTCTAATTCAAAGAAGCAGCTTTCTGACCCCAAGAATCAGTTTCTGAGCCCAAAAATCAGCTTCTTGACACCCAGAATCAGTTAACGATCCAAAGAATCAGTTTCTTGACCCCCAGAATCAGCTTCTGTCCCAAGAATCAGTTGCTTCATCCCCAGAATCAGTTTCTAATCCTGAGAAGCAGCTTCTTGACCCCAAAAATCAGCTTCTTGCCCCCCCAGGAAAAGCAGCCTGGATTTCTGCGAGCGCTCGGCCACGCCACCAGCTCCAACACACGAGGCAGGAGCCAAGATGTCACAACTCCAGCGAATTTCCTTACACGAGCGTTTCCGCCAGGAAGCCACATCCCCCGGCTCCAGCTGCCTTTCCAACCCACGACACTCGCACGGATCGGCGACAAAAACACCCACTGCCAGAATCAGAAACCAAAAAACACCCCCAGGCAACACGCTGCCGCTGCTGGGAAGGCGCAAGGAGCTGGATTTCTGTCCTAGGGATAAGGTTTGTGCTTCACTCCAAGGTGAAAGCAGCGTAAAACCTCCCTGTTAAACACATCCCGCAGCAAACGCGGCAAGTTGCGGTCACACAAGACCTTTCCTTTCAAAAAAATCCCCTTTTTTCCGCCCAAAACCAAGAGTTTCCTGTGTGAGATATCCCCATTTTCCACCCAGAGGAGAAAATGAAGCATCCAGCGTCAGAACTGGGGAATTCTCGCCATGACGCAGCCGTTTACCTGCAAAAAATCATGACACCCATCAAGACGATTTCTTCTAACAAATCGTTCAGCCCAAAGCTCGAAGCACAGAATCACAGAATCACAGAATC